CGGGACTTCCAGGAAAGCTCTCCATGTTAACGCTAAGTCAAAACATAGTCTGAAACACATCACTCTGTGAGGGAAAAGCTTTCTGCTCCCCAAATCGGGCCGGGGTTCTCTGCGGAGGTCATCAGCGTGCTTCGGAACGCTGTTTGAGTGTAACCAGGGAGGAAGGAGCTCCTCCTCTTATGTACTTGAAGTATGAAGACTCCTGGTTGCAAACAAGAGGAGCCCGATTCAACAAGGTATAAAAGCTCACGTAATAGACAAGGCCAGCGCTTGACCTTAGGCTTGAGTAGATCCAAGTGTTCAAAGTACAGCAGCAAGATCCTGTCCCTTTCCACCTGCAGATCTGCTTTTGTCCAGAAAACCACAGCTCCCCCCAGTCCCCCAGTCCCAGGCTTCCATTCCGCGGGGAGCCGGCCGGGCAGGAAGGCAGCTCCTCCTGCTAAGAGCAGCAGTAAAAACCTCCATCTTGACCTTGGTTGGCCGGTCTGCGTCACGTGGCCACCCACCTGCTGATCAGGGCGGCGGGGTGGAGCTAACTTTTCCAGAACAACTTAGTCTCCATCCGAAATGTCCTTTGGTCCCAGGAGTGAGGGGCTCAGTAACAACTACCCCCGGCAGCACCGCTGTGGACCCTCAGCCACAGAGCCCAGCCACCAGCAGGCCCTCCCTGGCGGTCAGCGGCCCAGCGAGCAGGGCCCTGCCCCCGGTATGTGGCCTGGAGGACATTTCTAGAGTCCCGTTTCCTTTGTGCTTTTAAAGCTAACAAGCAAATCGTAAGCCCAGACATTATGGTTTCCAAGGACAAAGTCTTCCGTATTTTTTTCTTTTCTGCTGTATTATCTTATATTCTGAAAATAGCTTTATGGGTTTTTGATTAAAATGACAGATGCTAAAAAAAAATGAGTTATTCTTTGTAGCAAATTAAAGTGCTGCAGGAAAATACACTGAAGGGAGCCAGCCTCTCTTCCCTTTGCTTGCCCGTGGCTGCACATCTGCATGGGTGAGCTCCCAGTGGCTGCACATCTGCATGGGTGAGCTCCCAGTGGCTGCACATCTGCATGGGTGAGCTCCCAGTGACTATACGTCTGCATGGGTGAGCTCCCAGTGACTACACATCCGCATGGGTGAGCTCCCATTTTGACTCCCTGCTCAGGCACTTTGCTCCTTTGGACAAGGCGGCCCATCTTACTACAACCTGACTTAACCGTCTTTCCCAATGAGTCTCACGCTTGTGAAGCTGTTGTAAGAAATCACTGCACCCTTGCACTGTGCCCGGCAATGCCTTGCTTCTGTTCTGTCATTTAATCCGCAAACTGTCTTGTGAGGTGGGTACTGCCATCCTTCTCTTAGGGATGAAAACCTGAGGCTGCCAGACAGCAGTTTGCTCAGAGCCGCACAGGTAGCAAACTCCCGGGCCAGTCTCAATGGGCCTCAGCGCGCGTGGTCTCAGCTGCCCGTGCTGTGCGCTAGGGTTCTCGGAAAGCTTTCAGCGCAGTGCCCAAGACCGAGCAAGCACTCACATAACTGTGTCCATTTGTGCTAACGGTAATGATACGGGTGATATAAAGCAGTTTGAAGTAAAAGCATGTACATTTGGGATATGCTCTTGCATAGCTGCCTTTTTGCCTCAGTGAAGACGAGCCCTTCAATGCCATCTTGTGGATCAGGCCAGACTGGGGGACGTGAATGCCTGCCTTCCATCCTGTGCTGCACTTGGGGTCCACAGGCGGGCTTTGCCTTGAGCAGTCAGCCACTCCTTTGGGCCTTTCTTTTTGATGTGAGGCCACTCTGAGAATTTTAGAAGCTCACACCCAGGTGAGGAGCAAGCTTCCAGGTACAAACTTTATGAAAAGATTGATGTCATTGAGCCCAGTGATTCTGCTTCTAGAATCCACCGTCGTGGCTGTGCGGAGCCATTTAGCTGCCAACATATGTGTCATAGAATTGTTTTTGATACGAAACAAAATCAGAAGAAATTCAGTGTCCAGAGATAGGAGATCAGCTATGTAAAGCAGGCTGCATCCAAACCATGGAGAACTTTGGGCTGCGAAAGATGCTGTGGGGGAAGACTATTGAAGGACATTAAACTCAATCAGGAATAGCAGGTGAAAAAAATAGGTTAAATAGTGTATGTCCATCACTTGTGGAATTTTATTGAGTCTCCACTGTGTGCACACAGTGGGTCTAGGCACTTGGAATACAGGAGTGGAAAAAAACCTGTGTGCCATGAGCTTACTGCGTTCTGCTGGAGAAAGAAAGGAGCTGGTGGCCGGGCTCTGTGGCTGATGGCCCACGGCGGTACTTGGGGGGGAGGTTGTTAGTACTGCGCCCCTCATTCCTTGGACCAGTGGACATTTCTTGTCCTTGAAAGCCTTGAAAGTCTTGTCTTTTAGAGGGTCTGGATCTTCATGAAGATGTACGTAGGTTGCTGTATTTTGTTAGGTATTTAATTTATTCTGCTTGGCCACTGGTAGACTCTTTTAACCTAAAAACTTTGCCTTTCTTAGCATGGACCTGTTTTCGTCTGTTATATGTCTGATTTTTTTTTCTTTCCTCTTCTCCCTTCCTGGAATCCTGTTCGATGCTGAGCCCCCTGAATTGATCTGCACCCCCCTTTCTCTGATGAGTCCTATCTTATTGACTTCTTGTTCTGCATTCTGGAAAATTGCACCAATTATATGTTCTGGGTCCAAGAAACCATAATTGTCTGATTACTTCCTTTTCACGCTACGTAGTCTTGCATGGATGGGATACAGTGTCTTTGCAAATCACTGTTACTCATTGGAATTGTTGAAGTTATTTCCACGACCCTAGATTGGCTTCATTCCCCTTTTTAAAAGTTCTCTCTTAGTTTATCTTGGTCCTTCTTTCCTGCGCCATTGGATTGTTCCAAATTTCTGGAGCTCCCTGGCTGTCTATTCATATGTTTTCACAAAGTACTTAGCCGATTAACAAAGATGACTAAGACAGATAGGTGAGTATTCCCAGGAGACCTGTCCTTTGAAAAGGGGGTGGGTGTGCCGACAATTCCAAGTTTGTTCTCCAGGCCTGTCTTCAGGTACGTGAAGAGGATCTGGTGGGCGCAGGAGGTGGGCTCCCCTGAAGCTGCACAAGGAAGCTTTCATTGCGCGTGTAACCCGTGTATTCAAGTCCTAGTCTTCTTCAAGTAGATTGTCCAATTTTGTTAGAGGACCGTTTTCCGGTTTGGGCCTCAGGACAAAGCATCCTTGCCCAGGTGTCCATTGGATTAGGAATTGAGATGGAGAGCCATTAGACCAGCTTTCTGGATTCTGTCTCACAGCAAGTGCTGCTCTTGGCACCAGCCAGCTCCAGGTTGGAGCTCTCGGTCCAGGAGGCCCGGACCCTGCGCCTGCCTGGAGGACAGGGCTCCCTCTTACCTTCATGCTGCCCTCCACTTCCCGTTGTCCAGAATACGCCAGACTCTCCGGTGTTTTGTTCTCACCCCCATTCTGCGTGTGTGTACGCTTGTCCCTTTGGGTATCTTCTCATGCTTCACCAGCATCTGGGGAGGAAGAGTAGGTGCTGATGTGCTTATTCATCCATTGAATTAGAGGCCTTGTATTCGTTTCGCTTTTCTGAATTCTCTAAAGTGAATATGTGTTATGACATTCGTAATAAAAGTAACAATGAAAGCTGTTCTTAAAATAGAAAGGATTTAGAAATATGTCATGAAGCCAAAAAGAGAAGCATCTTGAGGGCATCTGGGGGGCTCAGGCAGTTAAGCATTTGGCTCTTGGTTTTGTCTCAGGTCATGATCTCACGGTTCGTGGGTTCGAGCCCCGCGTCAGGCTCTGTGCTGACAGCTCAGAGCCTGGAGCTGCTTCGGATTCTGTGTCTCCCTCTCTCTCTGCCCCTCCCCTGCTCAAGCTTTGTGTCTCTCTCAAATATAAATAAACATTTTAAAAAATTTCATGTTTTTATTTATTGCTGAGAGACAGAGAGAGTCTCTGCTTTCCCTGCGTGCCCCCAGCTGAATGCACAGGTGGCTGCAGAATCTTGTCTGTCTCGTGCTGCATTAGAGGTGCCGTCAGAGCGGCAAGAGTATTGCATACAAGCCTGCCGGTAAGCAGGCGCGTCAGCCAGGCCTTACAGGGGCAGGCATTTATCCACTTGCTGTTTGGATGGGCTCAGGCGCCTGCTTCCTCTGCTGGTCCTTCCTCGGTCACTTGTGCATCTCCAGACAATTGTTTATTGGTTTGAAGAGAGACACCTTTGCTTTAATAACAGCCAAGGTATGGAGGAGGGGAGGAAACGAGCAAAGCGAAGGGCTCACAGAGACCGCCGGACACACGTGCTTCCGTGCCTGGTAACCGTGTGTGTGCCAGCCCCAGAGGCCCTGGACTCGGTCACCGTGGCTGGAATCAGGCTGTGGCTTCACTGCCAGCCTCTGGGCTGAGTGCTCGCGGCCGCCGTGGGGGGGATGGCGCTGTGGCTGCAGCTCCACGGGCCACCCCTATCACTGCCGCCGTCCGAATCAGTGTCACTGCTGCGGGCTGGCCTGTGTCCTCATCGCCAGAGCCAGCTTTTCATCCTCTGAATCCGCATCACTGCTGAAGATCTCTTCGTACGGGTGGCCTAGACCTCATCCTGGCTGCTGCCACTCTCGTCACTCGCCTGGTCCCTGTCACCTTTTCCCTGGCTCACCTGTCTGGGATTGGCCGGGCATTGGCTGAGGTGACGGGTCGTTGGGGCCAGGTGTCCCTGGGCACCCGAAGGCCAGCGTGGGCTTGCTCACGTGGTGACGGGGTGCAAGACTTCCAGGCACAGTGAGGGAGGGAGCCGGAAGGCTCAAGATTTGCACAGAGTCACGGCCGCCCGTCCCCGCGGCCTAGGCAAGTCACACACACGCCAGCCCGGATTCAAGGAGCAGAGAAAGAAGTGCCACACCTCGACGTACAATGGCTGCTTCTGCCATCCACCGTTTTAATCATTCCAGGTCTTGATTCTAATTCTGTTTTCTAATTCTGTGTTTTCCTCAGGCTTCTGAGGACCCAGTCTCTGGAATGGTTCTACAATAACGTGAAGAGTCGCTTCAAACGCTTTGGCAGCGCCAAGGTCTTGAAGAACCTGTACAGGAAACACCGGCTGGAGAGCGGGGCGTGCTTCGAGATTCTAGGTACGCACTGCGCTGGGAGCCTGTGCGGGGCTGGGGGATAGATGGAGGCCTGGCCGAGGCCCCGGACACTGGCCACACTCAGCTGGGACCCAGGAAGCTGCTTCCCTCTCTGGCTCCAACGGGGAGGAGAAGGAGGCGGCTAAATACCAAAGACTCTGTAAAGTTTGAGTCACCCGGTACCAGCATGCCCGCTGGGCTGTCGGGTGTGTTAAGAAGACCAAAGTATCGGGGCGCCTGGGGGGCTCAGCCAGTTAAGTGTCTAACTCTTGATTGCGGCTCGGGTCATGATCTCGCCGTGTGTGAGTTCGAGCCCCGAGTCGGGCTCTGCACTGAAAGCCTGGAGCCTGCTTGGGATTTTCTCTCTCCTTCTCTTTCTGCCCCTCTCCCCTCTTGAAATAATACATAACTGAACATTTAAAACAAGAAGATCAAAGTATTTCTGCGTACCATGGACGTTTTAATTCTAGACGCCTAGAAATCAGAGATTCTTGATCACTGGAAAGTCATCTTTGTTCGACCACATAGACCAGGTCTGCTCTCTGAGGGTGTGCCCTCCACTCCCCCGACCTCCTGCTCCCAAATTCTACTCACACCAGGCCCAGAACCTGATGTGTTAGGAGAGAGGGCAAAGGATGGGCTTCTCTCCCAGGCAGCCTGAAGGGTGAATTCTTCCTTTGCCGTTTTTACACAGTTAAGACAACTAATGTAATTAGAGTGAGAAATTATCTTCTTTAGTTCTATTAGACCAGCCAGTAGAAAGAAATCGTTGTCGGAATATGAACAACGTGTCCTCCAAAAAAGGCTGGTGGGTTTTGTTTTGTTTTTCTATCTAAAGGCAGATTTTTTCCCAGCACTTTGCTAACACAGGTAAATGCTTTTTATCCACGAGAAAGAGGGAAGGAAAAGAGATTTTGTCCGTCTCATCCTGGAGTGTTTTTCACCGTCATTATTTTACATTGTTGTATTTTCAATAAAGTCTATAGCCGCGTCTTATCTAAAAATATGCCAGCCACTGAGACAAGGGAGGAAGTAGGACATTAAACACAGAGAATCATTAGGGCCTTTTGTGTGGTTGTTAGACACCATCTTTCAAAGCGTTCAGGAAGCCTCAGCTCGGAGAGCAGTGCTGCAGGTTTCCACAGATTATTTTTATCTCGCCTTTGCTGGTTTTTCTAAAAACCTTTTCTCCAGGAATGGAGGCCGAAAAAGAAATAAAGCCTAAGAGGAATCCTGTTAACAGTCGTTTTTCAACCCAAAGAGCCAGCTCAAGAAGTTTCCAGAATATTACTGTGCATCCCATCCTTTCTTTCCTCTCGCATACACCCCTGGGTCTTCTTTGGGTATGTCTATACGAGTCCCCAAATCCAGGCCTCCACTGCCTACCGCAAGGCGAGGGGAAAGCAGACATGAGGAGAACCCGCAGAGCAGAGCACGACTCTGACCTCTGGCCCTCTCTGCCTCAGGCCCTGCGGCTGGCTCAGGCGGACATGAGCCCCAAGGCGGGTCAGCTCAGGGCTTTGAAATGTTCACGTGTCACTTTTGGAGGAACACCACCCACCGGGGTCGCTGTCTGTAATGCAGATCTGGGTTCTGGGTCCTCCACTTCCTTCATGCAGGGCTCAGCACAGCACTTAGCACTTGGCATTCAGGGCTCTACAAGCCACTCCCCCGCCCAGCAGTGCAGAGCGACAGCCTTGTCACCTCCGTGTCCCCACAGTGTGGCTCAAGCCCCGTCATGTCTTCAGTGTGGCACCCGTTAAATCTTAAAAGCATTCTGTGGGTACCGACCCCTCACCGAAGCATTCGGATCAGCTGCTTTCATGTGATTCAGATTGTCGTTTGGACTAAGGTTCCTGTTTAATAAACGTGAAGGCGGGTGGACAGGAAACAGTTTGTGAGCTCACATCCAAACCTGTGAAGCCGTGATCACAAAACAATGGGATTTAATCTACACACCGCCTAGAAACTCACTTAGACCCCACGTGTGGCTAACCTCCAGTGCACACGTGGCCTTCTGCTGTGTCAATGACCAGGGAGCCCTTACAGGGAGCCCCCCGCATCACCCAGCACCCTTGCTTTGTGGTTACCTGCTTTCTTCCACCCCCACCACACTCAATCCAGAATCCTCTAGGGGGCTTTGAGAAAGTGCCCAGGGTCATCTTGCGCGCTCAGCCACCTACTTCCGAATCTGTGGGGGTGAGCCCCAGATGGACATCTGTAAAGCTCCATGGGGTATTTTAAGGCACAGCCCAGATGGAGAACCCCAGCGAGCACTGGGCTGTAACTTGTGTAATAAGAAGATGGGTCCATCTTATTTAGAATCTGCTGCACAAATTACTCATGGCAGCCAGGGTGCACTTGGATGCACAAATCCGACCAGGTCACCCCCGTGGAAACTTTGCTGGCTATTTACACGGCTGTTCGAATAAAGACCCAAACATGATAGGTCGCCATGTCCTGTGTGGTCTGGGTCCCCAAGCCCAGCCACACTGCCTCGTTTCAGTCCTCAGGTGCACCCACTGCCCCCACCTCCTGTCCCTGTGCAGGCTGTTTGCCCGTCTCCCCACCCCCCCTCTGGCTGGTTACTCACTGTCCCTGCTAGACACTTTCACCGTATGAAGCACCCATCAGGGCACTTAACAGATCTATAATTTTACACTGATTTATATAACCCTCTGATTGATGAAATCTTTCCCACTAGACTGTCCAGTTGATCAGGGCAGCAGGGATTTCTGGCTTTGCTCACCAGTATACCCTTCACACCCAGCCCAGAACCACTTGCCTAGTAGGTGCCGTGGACTCTTGGCTGCATGATGGATGAATGAATTCTGGCTGTCGCCATGCCAAAGTGAAATCTGCACTAAGACCTAGAGCTTAGGCTCTGAAGAGATGACGTATCTTCAACCCTTATATCATAAGTGAGGACACTGAGACCCAGAAAGACAAAGCCACTTCCTCAGGGTCACAGAGCTAGAATAAGTGGACTTCATATATATTATGAAAGCCCGGGCATAAAAACACAAACACCGAGAATGGTATATGGTCAGACTGAGTCGCCATGACAGGCTGCCCACTAATGGCTTGTTTCATAAAGATGACCTTCTACTAAACCTGCCTCAACTACCCACAGCACTTACCCCTGGAATTCCCACTGGGAGCCCCCCAACAGCCATCCAAGGACGCACAGGGTGTATTTTATGCACTGAAGGCCTGTTGCTTAGTTGACATGACATTGCTGGCATTTGCCCCCTTTTGAGCTAAGGCACAGGGACCCATATTCATTTTCTTAGTTCCAACGGTCATTCCACCAGCATCCAATTCAAGACAGTTTTCTTGAGCTGCTCACTGTTAGGTGCTATCTTGGGTAGCAGCGATATAATATACAATGACTTTGAAACAGTCCACCACCCCCATCTTCCGAGATCTCATTTGATGAATCAACACATATCATAAAAATCCCCAACTTGAAAAAGGGCTTAGCCAACTGCTCTTCCCAGCCTGGGTTAAGATTAGCACTGTGTGTTCGATTCAAAGTAGACCAGAGGAGAGGCAGCAGGCCTTCAGAGACCAGATGCCATTGGGTTGACCTTGGCTGGCTCTGGGCTTGTTTCACGTGGACTCCCTTCTACAGAAGACAATGGTGGTAATTAAATCATTAGCTAAAGACACGGTTTGGGTCAGCGCCATAGACTTCAGCTAAAGACCAAACCCGCAGGGCCTCATCACTGTCAGGAGCTCTTGTTATTTCCCATTTTTCTAGTAAGGAAACCAAGTGTCAGAGAAGTTAAGTAGCAGACTCAAGGTCACATGGTTAGTAACTTTCAAGTCCAGGAATCAACCTTAGGTCTCTCTGACTTCGATCTCTTGTTCTGTTTTTGACTCCACATTGCCTCCAAAGAAGGTACTGGAAGAAAACGAAGGGAGACAGCAATGGTACACCACGAATCAGTGTGAGAAGGCAAAGGGGACTGGTCAAAACCTGCAGCGTGACTGTGGAGCCCAGGGGTTCCCTAAACCGGATTACAAAGCTAACCTCATCGAAGTGGGTAGCAGTGAATTGCCCGGTCTGTGACAGTGTGCGCCCTGGGGGCCTGGGATGATCCTGTTCTCTCTCCTGCTTTCTCCCTCCCTTTAGGAGGAAGCTTTTTTGAGGCCAACCTGGAGAATGAAGGAAGTGTGTCTGGCAGCGATTCAACATTTTATAGGCAGTCTGAAGGTAAGTTTGCGTTACAAGTTTATGGCTAATGGGGAGCTGGAGGAATTGAAACATCTTCAGACCGTGTCAGGGTTTCCCAGTTGCACTGTAACTGCTGGACACGACTACTTGTGTGCCAGTCTCCACGGGCCTTCTTGTCATTGCGATTCGTGTGACTCCGTCGTCAAAATGGGCGAGTATATGCAAGGTGCAGCCCAGAGAAGTGTGTGCGCTACCCCTGGATACCTCACTTCACGGGAGTGAGAGCTTCAACACCGTCTTCCGGAGTTGGGATGTCGTAATGATACAGCGTGTAGCTCCTCTTAAAATATCCTTACGGGGGCTCCTGGGTGGCTTCAGAGGCTGCACCTCTAACCCTTGGTTTTGGCTCAGGTCATGATCTCACGGTTCGTGAGCTCGAGCCCCGCGTCAGGCTCTGTGCTGACAGTGCAGAGCCTGCTTGGGATTCTCTCTCTTCCTCTCTCTCTCTGTGCCTCTCTCTGTCTCTCTCTCTCTCCCTCTCTCAAAATAAATATTTAACAATAGTAACAAAATATTCTTCTGAAGAATGTGTCATTCACTGATTCATTTCTATTTTTTTATACCAACATAACAGTCCCCTTAGAGCCCAAGTTAAAAGCAAAACAGACTTCTGGTTTCCAATAAAACCTTCTCCACTGTCTCACCTCCTTCTCCGGAGTGCTGGACCTCGAGAGCCTCCCGAGTCCCCGCTCCTGGCACCCTACAGCTGCTCTCTGTTCTGGCCTTTGGGGGCCTCCCCAGGAAGGTCCCGTCCTTGACCCTTCTCCACGGGGCGCTGCTGCCCACCCCTGCGGCCCCCGTGCACCTCCATCCACTGCCGAGGCTGAAATGCCCGGCACCCATTTCAGCCCGGAGATCGAGACTCGCATTCCCAAGGCTTGACTATTAAGCCGTGTAAATCCTATGGTGATCTGAACCTCAGCACATCCTAGTCAAGGTCCTCAGCTGCCTAGGCCCACAGAAGAGGTCCCTTTCCGTCCCCACCCCCTCTAGCGCCGGTTCTGTCCTTCTCTTGCTGTTCTGATATTCTGACCTCCGTGGCCTGAGCGCCTCCTGCCCACAATTCCCTGGCGTTAACATTACCTCAGTGACCGCTCATATCCACCAGGGCCCTCCAGAGATGCATAACCAGTAGGGGACACACACACACACATTCATTTTATTTTATTTTAGGGACTTGGCTCACGCAGTCGTGGGGCCTGGCAAGCCTCAGGTCTACGGTTTAGGTCAGCAGCTGGGAAGGCCGTGCTTCAGTCTTGAGCCAGGCTTTCTTCTCTGGGAAATCTCAGTTCTTGCTCTTTAAGGCCTTTGCTCCTAATAGCTTGGATGAGGCCCACCCACATTACCTAAAGGGCAGCCTCCTTCACTTAAAGTCGACCACCGTAGATGTGAACCACAGCCACAAAATACCTTCATAACCCCGGTTTGATTAAATAACTGGGTGCAATAGCCTAGGCCGGCTGATGCATAAAACGAACCATCCCATTGTCCACTGGTCTTCGGACCTTAGGTCAGCCTGCATCTCACTTCTCCTTCGTCTACACCCCCGGCCAGACCTTCTCCCTGCGGCACCAACCTGAACCTTCACTTTCAGCCGAAATATCTTCGGTGTCCGCCTCACCTCCCTGGAAGTCGTGTCCGTATTATCCAGAGCCTCTGGGTCACGGCTCCAGGCGTCACTTGCCAGGGACCTGTGGAACGGGGTAGTGATCCCCACCACCCAGTAGCCTGGGAGCCACACGAGAGCCTGGATTTGGTTTGTCCATCAGGGCATTACTGGGGCCCTCACAGAACGAGCAAGAGCTTACAAGGCACCTCATCTGTGAAAAATGCATTGGTTGGTATCTTGAAGAAAAGACTTGGGCGGTTCAGTGTCCTCCAAGAAGTGCCTGGTGTGATGACCGCCTGCATTTTGTAGCCCATTCGTACAGAGTCACTAGGGAAACTGCACCTCAGTGGGCCCCCTGAGGTGTGCAGAGCCCGGACCCGGGTCACCCCACCTCAGGTGTGTTGTGACTGTCGTCACAGCCAGCTTGCTGTGGACCCGTCAGCCAGCTGGATTGCTTTGAGCTTGACTGGGTTGGCTTGAGAGATTTTATTATGTTTGCCAAATGCCAGTCTGTGTCCACGTTTGTGTCTCTGGGAGCCTAAGAAGCTTGAATTAAGTATTTTTTTTAATTGAGGGACTGATTAATGAGTATTTGATTTATTTACACCTGGTCTCACTCTGCGGAGGATTTGAGGCAGCTTTCAGGAGGCCTGCATGTGTTAAATAATGCATGAGTAGGAGATTATAAATGGAAACAGGAAGTTGTGATCCAGGCAAAGAAGACATAGGCACACAGCCCTCACAGGCCTGTGTTCTCGTGCCCGATGCGAACCAGCCTTCTACGAGAGGGATAGTTGGAATGCCCACTTTCAAGTAAGAAGAAAATCTAGTTTCTGGGGAAGCAGAACTCGTCCAAGCACTTAGATCCAAAAAGCATTTGGTTGGAGCACGCAGGTGGTTCAGTCGGTTGAGTGTCCAACTCTTGATTAGGCTCAGGTCATGATCCCAGGGTTGAGGGACCAAGCCCTGTGTTGGGCTCCGTGCTGAATGTGGAGCCTGCTTGAGATTCCCCCCCTCTCTCCCTCTCTCTCTCTCTCCAAAATAAAAACAAAAGTAAAGAAATTTGCCACCTGCAGAAGTCCTTTGACATGGGGACATTTCCTTCCACCTGTTGCCATTTGCGAAAAATATGCCTGCTAAAACTACGATAGCATTATATTTTAAGTCATGTTAGCTGATATTTGTCTCGCTTGTGAAGTTAAAATCGAGGGCTTTGGAGACGGAGTCTGGATCCCAACCTCATATCTCTTCCCGTCTCACTGAGTCAGCGTGGCCAAGTTACTTGACCTCTCTGTGCCTCGATTCTCGTCTGTCTGATGGAACCCACTCAGTGGATTGTTGTCAAGGTTAACTGCGGCCATGGATGTGACCCGCACCCCGGGGCCAGCCGCTGGTGGAGCTCGGTCAGAGCTGTTAGGGGTAGTATTGGTCTAGAAGGACCGGTATTTCTTTACACGAAGTCCTCCGTGCAGTGATGCGTAAGCCACTCTCTGTCGGGAGCCGTGCTCAGTGTTAGGGCGTAGCAGGGACTGTGCGATCCAGTCGTGCTCTCTGAGAATGACGTGTGGCGGGGCCGTCTCTCTGGCCCATCGGAAGCAAGCCCGGAGCCTCGGATGGACGTCCAGCCCGGGTGGGGAAGGCGGGATCTGGACAGGAGGGGTTTCAGAGGAGGAGCCAAGGCCAAGCCTTGGGACGGCCAGGAACCAGCCATTACAGAGCAGGGACCGCAGGGCGGAAGCCCAAGTTATGGGAGTCGTAACCGGAGAGACGGACTCTCCAACAACTTTTTGTGGCTGGAGCTGAGCGTGAGTGGGAGCCACTGAGGCAGGGAGGGGGCCGGGGCTTGTGGGCCAGGAAGAGCCCTGGCGACCTTACCCCCGGCCCCTAGAAGACTTTACCAGAAGCAGTGAAGTGGTACCCTCATTTAACTTGTCTTTCCCTTTCCGAAAGCGGTCTGTGTTCTGTTTTCTAGGACACAGCATGATGGACACGCTGGCTGTCGCCCTGCGGGTGGCTGAAGAGGCCATCGAGGAGGCAATTTCCAAAGCAGAAGCCTATGGGGACAGTCTGGTACGACGCCTTTCTCCTCCCCTCCCTGGGGGGAAGCGTGGGTCAAGGTCCTGTGGCCGCTGGAAGAAAGTATAGGTTGTCAGGAATCCAGCCTCATGGTGTCTGTCCTTGACCAGGGCAGGGTCCACCCTCCCTCTGCCTCTGTGGTCAGAACCCCCAAGAAAGTGGTTGCCAGGTGCCCCAACCCGCCCTCAGCGTGCGGCCACTGTCCTCCCTCCCACAGGACAAACAGAACGAGGCGAGTTACCTGCGGGACCACAGGGAGGAGCTGACCGAGGAGCTGGCCACGACCATCCTGCAGAAGGTAGGTGGGCCCTGGCCTCCCGCGCTGCAGCTCACACCCGGCCCAGCCCGGGGCCTCTGGGTGCCACTGTGTCCGTGCCTCGCCACGTCCCCTTTTGTGCTCTGGGGGCCCGCGCAGCAGGATCGCGCCGCCCGGAAAATGTACGCAGGGGGCTCGAATGTGGCCGCCTTTGTGGATGGAGCTGGTGGTAGGGGGCCGGGAACTCAGCTCTGGGCAGGTTACCCACCGACTCCCCGCCCCTGGGCTCCCCCGTGCGCGCACGTGCGTGTGTGCGTGCGAGCCCTCCTCTCACACCCCTCAAATAGTCTCTTGCTGAAGCGAATGTGCAGTCGCCGCCCGCTGCCTCCTTGCCCTAAATTGCCCCTCACGTGGGTGTCAGTTACCGTCGAGAAGCCACCACCCCGAAGCTCTGCGACTCTGAACAGTAGTGTTTCCGCGGGCAGTTCTCTGACACCACCTGGGTGTGATTCCATTCAATTCGTTTCCTTTCACGTTGGGCCTGACGCTGTCTGCTGACTCAGACCTCACACGCCAGGGCTCGGCCCCTCTAGACTGCCCCCACCTCAGATCCCAGTGAAGTTCCCGGAATCCCCAGCTTGCTGCCCTTCTCGCCAGCCTGCTGCCGATTCGGGGATTCCCATGGCTGCCCTCAGGCTGGATAATTTTCTTTTTTTTTTTTTTTTAATTTTTTTTTTAATGTTTTTTTTATTTATTTCTAGGAGAGAGAGAGAGACAGCGTGAGCAGGGNAGAGAGAGAGAGAGAGACAGCGGAGCAGGGGAGGGTCAGAGAGAGAGGGAGTCACAGACTGAAACAGGCTCCAGGTTCTGAGCTGGCAGTCAGCACAGAGCCCGACGCGGGGCTCGAACCCACGAACCGCGAGATCATGACCTAAGCGAAAGTCGGACGCTTAACCGACTAAGCCACCCAGGCGCCCCAGGCTGGATAATTTTCATAAGATTTTCTCGGCAAAGTGCTCTTCCCATTAGTGGTTTATCATAAGGATGTAGACGAGAAGCCTGATGAAGAGGCTCCTAGGGTAGCAAGGGACCTAGGAGGGGGTGTGCGGACCCCCAAGGCCTCCCTGCCCGCTGCACCCCCAGCCCCACCCAGCGAGTGCAGGCGGGGCCGGGTGCACAGAGCTCCCGCCCCACCCTGGCGGCGACGGGGCAGCCGAGTCCCGTGGCCACAGTTGGCTTTCCCGGCCACCAGCCCCCGTGTCTGTAGTCGTCCGGCTCTGAGTCACCTCATTAGCCGAACAGAGACCCTCTGCGGCAGGGACGGGGTCAGAGACCAGACACGTTCCGCTGGCCGCGGCTTCCTCCTTGCTCACGCACCTGCAGGGCCCCCGTCTCGCGCTGTGGGTCGGGATCAAGTCCGTGCAGCGTGGCCACTCTGGGGCCGAACGACGTGGACGAGGCCCAGGCTCGGCCCTGACCCCCTTCGTTACCCGCTCCTCCTCACACGTCAGTGGCCAAAGCACGGCCCACGGCCAGCCCGCAGCCAAGGCGGGACGAACGTCCCCCCGTCCCGGGAGGGGCGCGGGGCCACATGGCAAAGGGCCACACGCAGGGGGCAGCGAGCAAGGCCATCTTCCCTTTGGTCACAAAGCCACGTCCCCTGCTCGTGCCACGCACAGCCACCCCACCGGACACCCAGCCCTCTCGTCCCACCCACCGCCGGGGTCACCCGTGGACCAGTCTGGCCCCGCGTGTCCCGCATGCGTCGGTGGGGCCCCGGCAGCCGTGCAGGCGGCTGGTACAGGACGCCACCAGTCCCCAGCTGTCCCAGAGCCCAGGGGGCGCCTGGAGACGGGGGGCACGCCTCGCTCAGGCCCTCGAGTGCCCTGGGCGCGGCAGCTCACCGCTCTCCCGGGCTCTGGCGCCCGCTCTCTCATCCTGCCTGGTCCACAGACACACGGACACACAGCCTCCTCGCTGCCCCCTGCCCCCGAGAGGCTGGGAGCCCAGCCACCTCCGTGCAAGGGCCCATCACCTCCAAATGGCTGGGCCCCACAGAGCAAGCAGGACCCAGGAGCGGGAGCCTTCCCTGGTGGCCTTGGGACCTGCCCCTTCACAGGCCCTGCCGAACCCGGGTGTGAGGCCAGAGACTCCGGCTTTGGGATGCAGCGCCAGGATGCATGGCCGGAACTGCTGACCTAACCTCTCTGAGCCAGGTTCCCCATCCGTAAACCGGGAAGAGTTGTAGAACACAGCTCTTAGTTATTCCGATGATCAAATGAGATAGAGTGTACACAGCGCCTCACAGCCTGGCAAGTGCTGGCGCTTAATAAATAGAAGCTGTTAGTGCCGTAAAAGGGTCATGTGTAAACTGTGAAGTGCTGTGGACGGTGTAGGCCCGTACCTGTGGTGTTTTACCCTAAGGCAGAGCTGACACAGGTTGGTGTTCTGTTGAAAGGAAGCTCTTATGCGGCTAAAAAAGCCCCAGAGGCGACCCCAGTTACTCCACGTAGCACCCGAAGGCCCGCTGGTGACCCAGCCCTTTGTCACCCATTCCGTCCCCAGATCGTAAGAAGACAGAAGAGCAAAGGCGAGCAGCAAGTGGGAGAAGAGCCAGAGTGGCTGCGGCCCCAGAGCTGCGCGGTGGAGGCTGCGGACGGGGGCCCCGTGGCCCCCGCGGAAGGCGCCCGGGCTCCCAACAGCCTGTGGGTGAGTCCCAGTGGCCCCCGGGCCGGCGTCCTGCACGGCGCGGGTCAGGGCCGTTGTCCCCACGGCCGTGCGCCGCGTTCCTGAAGGGGAGACAGGGAGAGAGTGCGCGCGTGTGCGCACATGCATGTGTGTAGGTGTGCGTGCGTGTGCACCTGCGTGTGTGTACACGTGCATGCACGTGTGTACATGTGTGCGTTCGTGTGTGCACATGCATGTGTATGTGTGTGGCGTGTGTGCACATGTGCAGGCATGTGTGCACATGTGTGTGCGCATGCATGTGTGTAGTGCCCATGTGTGCACGTTCGTGTGTGCACATGCATGCACGTGTGTACATGTGTGCGTTCGTGTGTGCACATGCATGTGTAGGTGTGTGCGCATGTGTACATGTGTGTGCACATGTGTGCGCGCATGCATGTGTGTAGTGCCCATGTGTGCACGTGCGTGTGCGCGCATGCATGGGTGTACACGTGTGCGTACGTGTGCGTGCCTGCGGGCCAAGAGGGACAGGGGGTGGTCAGCGTGCTCGTTCCGACAAGAGTCGAGCGGTCCCGCGCGCAGAGCGGCTGAAGGGGGCCACGCGCACCCGGACGGCCTCCGCCCCTTGCCTGGACGCAGATGTGATGAGAACTGCCCCCAGGTGGCCGCAGCCACATCCGGACACGGAGGGAGGTCGGGGAGGGCGGGGCACCGCCCTTTTGTGTGTCCCCTTGGAGCCAGGCCGAGGGCCGGATGACGAGGCGGCCTTCCGGCGGCGCAGGGGTCTGGGCCCCAGCGGAGGCCACGGGGCGGCCGGGAAGGGCGGAGGCTGCGGCGGCGGTGCCAGGCCTTCCGGGTGGAGAGTCCGGGTGGAGACGGTTCTAGAAGCGGCGGCGCCCCGGCCCTGGCGTGGGGCGGGCGCTGGGGAAGCCGGGGCGTCAGCGTCCCCGGGTCGGGGCTCGGGCAGGGGGTGCACCTGCAGCCTCGGAAGCGGGGCCCCGGGGCCTCACGCGCGCCGCTCCTCCCCGGGTCTCCGCGGGCCCCCGGGTGCGCGTGGGGACGAGGAGCCCGGCCTGGCTCCATCGGAGATGTGGCTTCCCTGATTTGTTCCCCTTGTCAACACGCCGTCGGCTTGTTTTACCGCGGCCGTGCCCGCCCGGCCCCACGGGGAACAAAGTGAGGAGGGGCCTGGACGCCGCCTCGGGGCCCGAGGACTCTGGCCGCCACAGCAGGACCAGCATAGGGGTCCGTGCGCGGCCGCAGGCACGCGACGGTTGAGACGGAGACGGACTTGGGGTGCAGAGGACGGAGGGGCCCATCACCTCCAAACAGCGCGTCTCTCAGATGTTCTGCTCGCTGATTCCCGCCCTTGCGGGCTCAGGCTGCGTGCACGGGCTCAGGCTGCGTGCACGGGCTCAGGCTGCGGGGCCCAGGCTGCATCCCCTGCTTTGCGGGGACGCTCTGGGAAGCATTTTCTGCAAACTGGTCGCGCCAGGATTGGGGTTCTCTAGGAAGTGCGAGGCTCCGCAGCACCAGACCCAGCCGTGAGCGGAGGGGTCAGAGGCAGCCGCAGGGAGCTTGGTTCTGCCTCTGGCACTTCTGGGCCTGAGATTCTAGATCTGCCCTTAACTAGGACGTTGGGAACGTGCTTACCGACTGCCTGTAAACTAGGGATCACGAGAAATACAAGGGGCAAAGTCCGGTCGCTGCTGTCCAGAGGAGCCGGGAGGGTGGAAGCGACCGAGTACTGGGGCCCTGAACGCCGGGCTGGGGGGCCGGTCAGGGGACCCCTCCCTAGCGGTCACCTGACACAAAGGTTTGAAACTGGAGAGACTGGGGAGCAGTGGGAGGAAGAGCATGCCCACAGAGGGAACAGCACGCACGGAGGCTCGGAGCAGGAAGGAACTTCATGTGCTCACAGAATAGAACAGCAGCCATGTGTCAGAGAACAACAGCGACGTGAGAAGTGGATCCGGGCCGCTCTGCACAGAGACGCGTCCCCGAAATGACACAGATCGTTCCGCTTTTTCTTGCCTTCGTTCTGCTTCGAGAACGGAGGCCACGGCATCATCAAGGGATCTCGGCGACTTGTGAGCCGAACTCCACTGTGTTTCGGTCACAGCTGGGGCGGCAGCTGGCGGCGTGTCCCTGACCCGCCTGCTCCGATTCACAGCCCTCCCCACCCCTTCACCCCCCAGCCCAGCCCCTGCTTCAGGTCCTCCTGGGTCCCTCTCCCCGTCCCTCCCACAAGCTGCCAGGCGGCATGTCTGTCTTCCCCGCCGCCGTCTCCGCTCACCACTGCTTGTCTCTGGCTTCGCCGCCGCCGTCTCCGCTCACCACTGCATGTCTCTGGCTTCTCCACCATCTCTGCTCACCACTGCTTGTCTCTGGCCACTCACTGCATGTTGGGCCGTCCTCTTCTTTCCCCGTCGGGGCCAGAAGCTCCCCTCCACCCCGACCCCATGCTGCTTCCCTGCAGCACGGAGAGACCCCACTCCCCAGAAACATGCCTCCGACACCCCCTGGTCACGTCGGTTGCCTGCAGCTCTGCACAGTGACTAACAAGCTCACAGTCTTGGGAGTCGTCATGGAAAACTTACACAATAGCAATGATTGAGAGATTGTCCGACGTCTACAGGAATGACATGTGGCCGATAGTCTTCCTTCCCATGGACTGTAAACACACAGGGCGTTCACACGTGATTCCATTAGATTCCCACGACGGCATCTGTTCTCCCCGTTTTACAGAGCAGTAAACTGAGGCCTGGTCAGGGAACTAAGCTGGCGGAGGGGCAGGACCAGAACCCAGGTCTCCTGGCTTAGCACACTCCCTCTGCTCTGCTCTGGTCCGTCTCCCGTCTCACTGCGAAGCCCGGGGATATGAACTTCCTGTTTCCCCAGCAGACACTCTGTGGGGCCCCTCGTTGTGCTTACTGTGCAACCGAGAAGTCACACTCCTGTCACCTGCGCCGTGTGGCACTAGATGGGCGCCGGGACCAGCCAGAGTGCGGCGGGACAGCCCGGTGCAACACAACCGCTCAGGCAAGCGCCGGCCAGAAGCAGCTTCATAGACGCGGCACCGAGGCCCCCGGGGACCCCGCTCGGCCCCTCGGCGGCTGGAGGGGCGCCGGCGCACCCGGGGCGCAGGGGCACGGCGGGCACACGTCGGAGCCGCACAGCACTCGCTTTCGGTTTGCCAAGTCGGACCTTCTCAGCGATTGCTTCCTCGCCTGAAGATCCGTCTTGGCCCACGCCTGACCTCTGCACAGCACGACTGTCACTTTGGCTTCCACATCAAGGCAGACAGAGCGGATGCGCTTCTGACTTATTTCTCCCGAAGCAAATGGCAGAATATGATTTATTTCTAGATTTCGATACAGACTAAGGCCGAATGGAAGTCCTCTGATTCTGAGTATCTTTTGAGTCTCTGCTGTGCGGTACTTTGCAACCTATGTGCACCTAACCCAGGGCTTCAACACTGATACACCTTAACCACCAGATCCTAGGGCCTGGCCGGGGTGAGATCGCCTACAGAGGGGATAAGATCATGAGCTGGCTCCTTTTACTGAAAACTTCGTCTTTAATTTTGATGTTTTTTAAAATTTTGTTAATGTTTTACTTATTTGGGGGAGAGAGAGAGAGAGCACAAGCAGAGAAGAGGCAGAGAGAGAGGGAGACACAGAATCGGAAGCAGCTCCAGGCTCTGAGCTGTCAGCACAGAGCCCGACCTGGGGCTCAAACCCACGAACCGCGAGATACGACCTGAGCTGAAGTCTGTCGTTCAACCGACTGAGCCACCCAGGCGCCCCATTAATTTTGATGTTTGATCAGAGAAGCCCTCTGCTGGCCTCTCCCTGGGAGCTGTCTTCATGCTGTGATTTGCAATACGTAAACAGCATATTTTTGCCAACAATATCAGAGACAGGAGTGCTTTTGTCTTTCTCCGCCCACACGTGTCCCCACAGGCGCTGCCTGAACCCGGAAGTACGGAGACCTTCTGCGTCCGGCTGGGCCCTGGCTGGGTTTGTCCCATCAGCAGCCAGTACTATGAGCCCGGTGGTCAGTGCTCACGTTTGCCCTGGCGTTGGGCCGGCTCAGCGTCAGGCACGTCGGGGCCGTGGCTGCCTGGTGGCAGAAGGTTGATTTGTGGAGATTTAGTCACAGCCTGGACTTGAACGCTTCCCTCTGGCTTCCGGGATCCCCGTGAAGGAAGGAGAATGTGTGGATTAAGGTCTCAGCAAAACCCTATTATCCGCACCCTCGTGATGGACCATATGTAGCTCCTGGTGTGCTTTAAAGACAGCCGCGTGCTTAGAGCTTGGCAGAAACATCTGGAAGGCGAGCCTGTGCCTTACCCAGCCCTCGGTGATGAGAATCCATTGATTCTTGACTAGCTGGCTGTTTAGAAAGGTTTACAGCAAGTTTCGGTTCTTCCGGGGGCAGAGAAGCCCGCACGCCTCCGTCTGGCGCTGTCCCGTTTGGCTCCAGGCACAGTAACAAACTACCAGGGTGAGCCTGCCAGCCCGGGCCCCGGGGCGCCTGCAGGAAACGACCGGCCCCTCCGCTGCCCCGACCCACCGCTCCCCACCGCGTTTCGTCCCTTCCTCCCTGTCTCCGGCCTGCTGCCTTCCTCTCTTGTCTTCAGACCATTGACAGCCGGGGCTTAACCCCTGGACGGACCCCAGCCCGACTTCCCTTGGCCAGGCCCCCAAGCCCTTTCCCTCTGACCAGCACCATGGCAGGGCCCTCCTGGGGCCTCGAGCGGTGGCGCGCCCGGGGGACAAGGCTCAGCCTCTCCAAATGCTCACACTCGTGGGCTGAGCAGGCGCTTTCTCCCCGCCCGTGGCCTGCACTTGGCCCCCTTCCCCTGCGGTGGCTGGTGATGAGGGCAAGGGACAGCAGCACGGACTGGTTAAGAAGCAGGCACTAGGTTTGCCACCTCAGGTTTCTCTTACCCCTCACCGCAAGGTGGGGATGCGGTATTACTGAACCCATTTTATAGATAAGGAAACTGAGGCTAACGC